AGAGCCGATTTTTTATGGAAAAACAACGTGGTTTATACGTTGTCAATTTATAGACTTTACAGTGAAATACTGTATTCGTATACTCGAAAAGTATGACTTTTTTATGATTTCGTCATTTAGCGTGCTCAATGTCGTTAAACCACGAATATCAGAGACCTTACGATTTTATGACGGCGACGGCTACCAATACAATAGATCATTGAAAAGAATTGAGTAATTACAATATATGAATAATTTAGACATTGTCCTCGCTCTGTTTACAACGCCAAACACTACGGCCGCATTCCAAGCCACAACAAGTGCAACTTCAAACTAGGTTAGCAGACTTCTCTTTCCAACCAGAAAACCCATGTCTTCAACTTCTAAAACTGTATTAAATTCATACGATTGATAATATACGACAAACTATCTTTACTACCATTTATTTGAAGGAGTTTGTTTGGCCGTCGCCGTCGCGTTGCCGTCCTGAAAATCGTACGATCTCTATTGATACCGTTTGCTATTGGTAGCTGTCGTAGCCCAATTTATATCAACGCATTTTGATGCAAACAATACTTAATTTAAACTAGGAACTTTTAATTAACAAGAAGCCAGACTATTCCGCCACTTAGCTTAGTTTATAGGCGCAAAATCTGATTATTTAACAATTATTTACCGAGTTTGGGGTGAATAGTGCAAGGATATTCGCCGAAACGCGAAGCGTCGAGGTGTATAAATACAAAGTTAATCCAACTTTGACAGGTTATTAAGATTTTAGTTTTTTGCACCATAGTCTAGAAGATATGATGGTCTGGAATCCCGGCAAGCTTCAAAGTCACAAAATAGAAGACCTTTGCTTGATGTTGAACTGTACCTCACCGTGTACAAATCCTTTGTCTCAGCTTCAATAAATATTATTCATCGTGGCTGCACGTTTCATCTCAGCTATCCCTATTGGATAGTTACTTAAAGTGCCTATGCGACAATTTTTTTTATGAATGAATTGCAAAGTTCATGTAAAATCATAATATAACTTGTTTTCTAAAACTTTGTATTCTCTCCTGTATGTCAAGATTTTCGACTTTGTTTGATATACAAATGTGACTTGAATGACGTCACACTGCATAATGAGTTTTTAGAAAGAAAACGTTTCCTTGCCAAACATGTAATAATTCCACTGACATTGAAAGTGATATACTTTAAGAGCTATCAAAGCGATCATTTCGTCTGTAAATTTGAGATAATGAGAATTTTAACAAGCTACAACACAGTCTTCTGTAAAAGCATTATGCAGTGTGACGTCATTTAAGTCACATTTGTATATCAAACAAAGTCGAAAATCTTGACAAATAGGAAAGATTACAAAGTTTTAAAAAACAAGTTATATTATAATTTTAAATGAACTTTGCAATTCAATCATAAAAAAAATTGTCGCATAGGCACTTTAAAGCCCCGTTTACACTACACTCAATTTTTGGTACGGCACGGATAAAATTGGTACCCGTACCACTTTTTTGGTTCTTGGACTACCTAATTAGGTAGTCCAAGAACCAAAAAGTGGTACGGTACCAAAAATTGAGCGTAGTGTAAACGGGGCTTAGCTAAATAGGTAGTCCAAGAATCAAAAAAGTGGTACGGGTACCAATTTTATCCGTGCCGTACCAAAAATTGAGCGTAGTGTAAATGGGGCTTAATTATATGAAAATCAAAATGAGCTCAATCACTGTGACTGTGCACAAAAACATATAACAAACACTGTGTTTAGTTTCCAGACCATCATCAGATTTGGTTAAAATAAATAGATTATTTGTCAAAAGTAAATGGCTAAAGTGGGTTTTAATTTTCAACAGTCATATTTTATTGATAAAACAATTAATGAAAAAAATGCTGTGAAAATTCTGGAGGAAATGTTTCCCCAAAAGAGGAATTAATTTCAGGCCAGCGCTTTTTCAGTTGCCGTCCTCAATCGAGTTATTGAGCACGCATTTAGCCAATCAAAAAAGTTCTAAACTGGTTCTTATATAACATCTATCTTATAATACGAGTTTTGTAATAATGAGCGGGCAAGGTAGCAGAATCAGTAATATCGTGGTCAGTATTTTTGTTTGTTGTAGTTCATTTTCATAAAATAGAAACTTTTTAATAACTCTACGAAGAAATATGTGAATATAAACAAATCAAGACTGGTCGGCTCCTTGTCCACAAAGTACAAGCCATAGCATATTTTTATTTGCAAAGCAATTTCTGATAAAGAATCCATGTATATGCTATGATTGCCTCTAGGTTTGCTCTGTCAACATTATCATCATATTTCTTTCATTTCCCATCCCTTAAGGGCATCTTATCAAAGAAAGTATCGGCAGAGTGGATTGCGGGCCAAGCTCAAACTATATTGAAATACCTTAATACGCTGTATTCATCTAAGAATGCGTTTAAGATTATTTTCATCTAATTATAATTTCTCAAAAGCATACTAGTTTGAAATTACGAATCCTTATAAACAGATTAACATTAATCTAGATCTGTATTTCATATTTACATTGCTCTATAATGGACATTCCCGTATCAATCAAACGATGAGCACTATTAGTGCATTAGTGACTTTAAAAGTCAACTTTATAGGGGGTAGCAAATCTTCGAGTTAAGCCCCTCGAGTTAAGCCTTTCGAATTAACGCCTTTCGAGTTTAGCCCCGACCACGCCCATGCAACACCCGTTTCCTTAGAGGGCTTAACTCGAAGTACATAATTAGTGGTGTTAGGTATTGTACATCGAGCTAAGGCGTCTAAAAAATGGGGAAGGTATTTTTCGAGTTACGCCCTTCGAGTTAAGCCCTTTCGAGTTATGTTAAGCCCCTGCCACGCCCTTTTTCGCCGAGGGCTTAACTCGATGAACATATAGGTTGTTTTAGTACTTCGCGTGTATACTCGCAAAAACATTAGCAAATAAGGAGGGAGAATGTAAAACTTCTAGAAAAATTACTTTCAGCAATTTTAAGAAATACATTTTATTATATAAGATCTCTGTTGCGTTGCATACAGTTTTATACACACAGACAATGATATCGTGAAATGAGAGAATGAAACTTATTTCGCGTTCGATCGAGGTCAATTTATTCGTACTGAGATTAGAGATATAAAAGCTAGTCCAAAATAATTTGTTACTTAATGAAAATTGACTGTTTATACGAGTTATTCGTGACTCATTTAGGCTGCGGCTTAACTCGAACTTTCCAAGTTGTGTTTCTTTCTTCGAGTTAAGCCCTTGAGGAAAATGGGTGTAGTTTGCGAGTTGTCGGTGCTTAACTCGAAAAGGGCTTAACTCGAAGGAGTTAACTCGAATTACTCCAGTTACAGTTATCTACTTCCAGGGTCGTAGCGAAGAGGATAAAGAGGGGGGATGTAGTATCGCATTTGCCTATAACATTTCAGTCGCTAAAGCTGGTTTTCCTTTAGGCGGAATTTTGCGCGCGGAACGGAGACACGGGGTTTTTCTTTGTCTTGTGATTCCTCAGGTGGAACTAATTAGAAAAGACAAAGTAAGGGAGTAAACTCGAAGGGCGTAACCCGAGGGGCTTAACTCGAAGATTTTCTCCAATATAATATCATCATGGTTTTTTCGTTTTAAATACACGTATAGTCGTTTCAGGTGAGTATTTCTAAGTGAAAACAGTAATTTGTGCATTATCGTGCACGTACAGGTCAAACATCTCCGAGATACAAAATCATCGTTTCGACAAAATTTCAGTCATCATATCATCAGGATAAACTAACTAGGTTATATGACAAAAGCTGTATTTATATGAACGAATATGATACAGGTTTATATCTTTGAATAGCGAGGGATTCTTGATACAGCAAAAGGGACCAATGGTTAGATTTATCAATTACTTCAGTTAGTATTGTGGAAAACATGTTCAGCCATTATACTGGTTTGATTAGACTTTGCTTTATCGTCGGGATATAGTTCTAAAAGGGCTTTAATATTTTGAAACAGTTAAAACCCCTAAAACGTATCAACGCTCTGCTGTCTATGAATATATTTGTCCTGGATGTAATAGTAGGTCCATCGACAAAACTGACCGCTGCTTATACACCAGAACTAAGCAACATTCATATCACATAAAATCTGAAATCCACCGGTAGCACCTCGCTCTGCTTGCGAACAGTTTCAACATCTAAAGCCCTTTTAGAACTATATCCCCACGATGACGCATACACTTGTTTTGTATTTTGTATAAAATACTCAGTGGTTCTAAAAATCTCCGAATTGTTTCCAAATATCAAGAATATGTTATTGACTTGTTATTTCCTTGTCTGATTCATAGTTAAATAGCAAGAACTACGGCCTGATGCATGCCGGAAATATCAATTGTTTATCTACAATGTTATTAAGATGCCGAAATTAAATATATGCAAAATACAAATATTAAAAAAGAACACCCAACAAAATGCGTCATAGCAATTATCTTTTATTTCAAAAGTACGGCAAAGGTTTTGTACTTTAAAATTATTAATTTGTTAGTGTCGGCGTAATTAGCTGAACGTCTACGAAGCCCTATCTTCTGCTATAAGTTAAATATGATTTCCTGGCTGCATTGACTGATTTTGACTTTTCACATTACATTTCGCGCTGAGGACTTGATTCTCCGATTAGACTTGTAAAGTCATAGGCAACTCAATGGCTAGGTCTATCAAATGTTTGACTTAATAAATCTTATAAACAGAATGTATTTAACACTGGTTCTCTCGTTGGTAGTGGTTCACCTACCTGAAAAATATAAGGAGAATTTCGACGTTTCGAGCGAAGGCCTTCGTCGAGAGTTACTCCAGACGAAGTAGTAGCTAACTCTAGTAACTACAGTCAGACGAAGGGCCTTCACTCGAAACGTCGTTTAAATTCTCCTGATATATTTTCAGGTACTTGCATCCCTACCGACGAAGCTTGCTATTATTGGCAGTACCCACACTGGCACAGACAGTTCAAAATTGTACTTAACATTATTCAATATTTCATACTTACATTGCCATGGCATTGGTTTATGATATTGGACTTTCCTGTTTCAAACAAACGATGCGAAGTAAAGCCAATATTATGATATATATCTGATGTTCGTTTCAAGTGCGTTATCGCGGGCGCACGTGTCAAACAACTTCGAAATACCTAACTAATTTAAGTTTAGTTTGCAGGTATATAATACCGATTTTGATACTATATGTAGCTAGCTTTTTCAGTGCTAATGTGCTGTTCTTACCGATTATGGTTCAGTCAACAGGTGGGAAATTTGTCTGAGCATGCGCGAGTAAAATGAGCTACGTAATTGCGTGGAATACACGCAACGCATGTTTACAAAAAGGCACAATCGTGTAAATATTGCCAAATGTTTGTACAAAATAAATGACTGTTTTATGTTGAAAGAGTGGATATGATCTAAATTAATCATACAAAATTTTTTAGTGACGTTCTATTTCAGTATCCTGCCATTGTCTCTGGTGGGCTGTCCGTGTGCATTCGATCTGAAACAGTTGCTACTTTGCTGTCGAAGAATTTCGAATGTTTACATGAAAATAGAGGCAAGTCATGCATTTTACAACCTCTCAAACTGTATGAGCCCCTATTTTTACGCTTATACCTAAGATATCAAATAAAAGTACATGAAACAGAGAACATTTGTAGAAAGTTTTATTGTGAGGCCACGGCCAGTTTTTAAAATATCTTTATTTCTGTTCCGGTCATCACCAAAATTACACAAAAGCCGGGCTTGAATATACAACAAATTTTGAATCTCATCAAGCACAAAAATACTTAACGTGTAACCAAAATATGCTCATGAAATCGAAATTAATAGCTAAATTTTCAAACTAGACCCTTCTCAAAGCGGTTTTCATGAAGGAAGTTCACATTTCGGCCTTTGATTCTTGGCAAAAATTTGACCACAACACGTGCGAAGCAACTGGGTCTCAAAGACTGAACTAAAACATTGTGAGCCCCTATTTTCCTGACGATATGTTTGATACCTACAAACGCCGAAAAGTTTTTGCTTTTCATTTAGCTATATTTGAAATTGAGGCCACGGGCTATTTTTGAGAAAATACAGTTTAAAGTCAAGCTATTTTTACATATTTTCAAAATTTGTCAAATTTCGCGAGCTTGTATTTTGAACTTAGACAGCTGAAGTTGCATTAAGAAACATAGGATGGAAAATTTGAGGCATATAAAGTTAATTTCAACTTACATTTCATTCTCAAATCACGTCTTTCTTCGTTTATTACGGTTTTAAACAAGCCATAGATCGACGTATACTGTATTTACACCCATGTTCACGTCACCATATTAACTTCTTCCAATCACGCGATTACAAAACAATCATCCCAAAACAAAGAATTCATGATCGACTTTTAAAAGAATAACCAATAATTTGTAAATCGTTGAATGAAAAGCAAAAAATCGTCAGCTAAAACAGCTTCTTGCTAACTTTCTGCTTTGTTTTTAATGCAAATGCAATGAGCTTTGTTTCTGCCCGCAATTTTTTGGTCAGCGACGACAAATTTCCCACCTGTTGGTTCAGTCGGTTATACGACAGTAGAAAAACTAAACTAATTGTATAAGCTGTAGTTATAGTCGATAGCTCTTAGCTATTCTCCTTGGAAATCGAGTGTGTTTGGTTGAGTCAAGAAGGGACTTGCCATTGACTCAACTATTTCAAGTAGTAACCTAACACTAGTACTTCAAATGCGTTGATCATTCAATTTCGTAAAAGTCGATAAACACAACATTTTTGTGTAGGTGTTAGTTCCTTCCTTGATTCGTAGCTAGTTATAGACAAGATCTATGACTATGCCTGATGCATGCATCATGGGGCGCCGGAAATATTTACAAAGCAAAACAATATATCTAGTATATTGTATCTATTTTCATCATGCAAACGTTCAAGGTCAAAAATCCTATTGTAGTTTATTACAATGGTATTAAGAGAAAGAAATATCTTCGGAAAGCACAATACAAGTATTAAAAAAGAGACAAAACGCGTGATAGTGAATATCTTTTAATCTCCAAATTGCGACAATTATAGAAATATTTCAAAGGTTTGCTACATTAGAAATATTTTAGCTTCAGCGTAATTGAATGAATGTCTACGAAGCCCCTATATTCTGTGATATTTGCCGATGGGCTGGCATGGACAAGAGAACAGGAAAGTTTATCATATATAATAGTTAACCTGCACATCTTAGCACGAGAACGTACGAATAGCCTCATTAGGGAGTTTACGAATGTGAGACGGCGACGTCAGGACGACGACTATCAATACAATGACATTAATCATATATAGTACAAAAGAAATGAATAATTAAAAGTCTAACAGAGGTTTTCGACGTCGTCCAAGCTCTGTTGACAACGGCAAAATGCATATTTTTACGTTTTGAATAGTACGCTAGCATTTCACGCAGTGACAGGTAGTTTTTCTAGCAGAGTTTATCAACATCGCTCGGAGGGTTAAATTAGTCTGTTTTACTCGTTCGAAACTATTTTAAATTCATACAAAAGTAAATACAAGACAAGATTTTCATACAATCATTTCTTTCAAATAGTTTGTTTCAGTTTAGCCGTCGTTCTGACGTCGCCGTCGCAAATTTTTTTTCCGTAGACAGTCGGACTCCTCGGATAGTCGGACGCATCATTGATCCGCGCCCTTAGACAAAATATTCAGCGGACACTCTTCGTATTAGATGTGCCTTCCCAGTACTGTGTCTTGCGCACGCAAATGGTGATTTGAAAATCCGGATTGTATTGCTTGGTTGAGATGCCAAAATCTGACTAGGACACATTGTAGCTTCATATCTTGTGTGGTGATGACATCTATAACATATTTTGTTAAGTTATATGACCGTGGTTATATTCGACATTCCCACTTGCTTTTCGGATCGATTGCAGAATACCGTCCACTTTTTAAGCTATGCTTTTCAAACATCATGGATACGATTTATTAATACATATATATTTATTCTCAATAGATTAATAACAACAAGACGCCTACTCAGGCGTTCACACTGACCTGAAAACGACGACATGCGCTCTATCAGGCGGTTCGCAAGAATCTAGCTAGTATAATAACTATGAGATTGGTCGGGAGGCGCAGTATTTATACTTGCCAGATTACCAATCTCGCCAATCTGAGTAGCAAACAAATTATACTAGTGCCAGACTACCGTTTATCAATATAGCGCATTCAATATGGCGACGAGCAAGCAGTGTTATAAATATTAATGACTTCAAGTAAATAAATCGGACTATTAAGTGTGTAAATGGCAATAATTTTTGGCTCGCGATATTAGATGCTCTTTCTGCTTGTTGTATTTATGGTAAAAGTGGTTCCCTGTGAAGATTGAAAGTCAAAATTGGAGAGTTTTTATACGCGAGTATTGGAGATATATTTTATACTTATATATAGGGCTATATATTTTCAATATTTTGAAAAATCACGTACCATGCCATGGAATAATGGATTAATGGTTTATATACAGTAGCGACGTTTATATGGACTATGTGATGACTATTAGTATCGACTGTATTAAACTGGTATGAAGTGTACATATCGAGTTCAAACAGCAAAAAATATTAAAAATGCCTGGCCAGCCTGGGTGAAAATTGCCTATCAAACAATGTTCATTATTAGGGGCTGTTTATATGTACCGGCATGGGCACACATTCAAAAATTGCTGGGGGGGGGATGATCTGGGATGACTTTCCTGTTCTGGAACAGGCATTTGTAGCTATACGTTAGCACAGAAATAGAGGAGTGCAATAAAACTGGGACCAACTTCTTGTGATTTTCAAATCCCCCCCCCAATGTACACCCCTGTGTACCGGGCTCATTTGGCCACAACAGAACAGCTACACTGA